TCTTATGCCCGAAATCCGAAGTGATGGCTCAAAGTAATTAGGACAGTAAAAATGAACGTCTGTTTTTGGCCATCAAGGTTTGATGACCCCCATCTCCCCCTTTCTACATTTAAGTTATAAATAGGTTTTTTCGAGAACGGGTTGCTACAAAATGGTGTGCTCTGGTGGTCGACCTGATGTTGGTGAGATGCGTTCTATTCGACAGAGAATAGGGGAATCCAAAAATGCTTGCAAATGCAGCTGGGTCCAACGGTCAGAACTGGTAGAAAAGCGCAGGCCAGACCCTGGACATGACAGAGAATGGTCTCAAACGAGTCGATTTGCTGATCATGATACGTCTGCTGGTAAAAGGAAGGTAAGAGAAGCTATTGAAATGGATAGATTCGGGAACACGAAGAATGTGAGCAAAGGTAGTTGAAAGTTGATTGAAAGATTGAAGCAGAGAGCGGGTGTTGGGCGACTCGGCTTGTCCGCTCAATGATGGTTCTAACTTCACTCACACTCGTCCAACATGTTACAGCATGGCCATCAACCAAACCAGACGTATAGATTACACAATTATGCGTAATTAAACTGTAATGAGTCCAGCTGACTTACACACGTACAAGCCTACACCTCATAATATCAACCTGAGATGCTGACGGACTTACGCAGTCTGGGTTGGGTCTTTTCTTGGGTCATTAAGCCCTGGTGGTGACATGAGCTTGACACTAGGCTTTTTAATCACTCTCATGTAAGACCCGTATTGCATGCATACATACACACATACACACATACACACAAGTTAAAGTACCATCACCAATATGCAACATATTAAAGTAGACAAATCATTCTATATCTGTGTATATGTAAAGACTTTCGTTCTCTAGTTGTGAGTATAAATAAGATGTCCACCATATGATGGACGAAAGGCCAGCCCATTTTCACCGGAAACGAGAGCGGAGGTCTCGTGGACTGCGTCAACCTGAACGTCGTATAAAAGCTAAACGGAAGCAGCTCGAGCGTCGAATCTCTTCATCATACACCTTCATGTCGAATAGAAGTCTCACCAACAAAGCTGAAATAAAGACTAAATTTGACATTTTGTCACGTCTCCAGAAGTGCTTTTCAAAGCAAATGCTGCTCTGTTCCACCAGATTCGATCGGCCTGGACCGGAGGAGGTTTAAGAATAGCTGCGCCGAAAGAGCCATACGATTCAGAGGCATAGTTTTGATACAAATGTACGCCTCTATCCGTTACCTCTTTTCGTGGTAAGATGTGCTATTCCGCTAAACACCAGCACATAGGCTGGTTTGGCATCACTGCTGCTGGCCGAATTGCTAAAAGGTTAAGGATGAAGATGGGCGAGCAACAGTCCGGCTCCACTCGGCAAAAAAGGGAAGCGCATTCTTACTGACAAGGCAACGAGGGGAATGGCTAACAACGAAGTGGCATCCGACACGAATCTCGACAGTGAGGATTAACCTTGTGACTAGCCTCGCGAGAATGGCATAGCTCTTTCAGCGTCAATTGAAAGAGGTCACTGTGGGCCAGAAATGCGGTGGCAAGGGCATTATCCATCATCCGTTGGAGGTAGGAAGAAAGTCGACTGGTTCAGGCTGTGAAGACGTTGTGCCGCTCAACTGCCATTCGCTAGTCTGCCTTTGGAGAACATTTGGGCATTAGTTACGAGATGTTTGCCCTCACCTGCGGACTAGAAGAACAGTGAACAAGTCTAGCAATGCTATCCAGTTCAACCATGAGTTGGCCAAGTTTACATATTAAACGGCTGAGAACATTTGAAAGCTTACAAATTGACAAGTTTTAACATAACACACTAAATCAAGAAGTTGTTTGGCCTTGTTTTCGCAACTAGGTCTTCCTACGAATGTGACAAAGTTGCGAAAATAAGGTCAAACAACTGTTATACAACGAAAGGAGACCGCGACCATACAAAAAGTCACACCATCCTCGTCTTCATAGCTTCAATTGTACTGAATCAAGTCGCCCCTGTCATGACCCCATCAGGAAAGGACGTCTGTTCCTGCTTCGTCTAGAAAGGGCTTTGGACGGGAAGTCCTCGATAAGAAGAGACTTGGCGGAAGGATGAGCTAAATCTAGGCTGAAGAAGCGCCTACGCAAAGTCAATCGAAAATATGAAGGTTTTGCACCTTTTTGTCCTCCAAGTCAAAGTAATCCAATAAAGTGGTTTCTATGCGAGGACACGCCTTGGTGATGTATTGTACACATTAAAGCTACTACAGGATAAATCGAAGGTATGAAGACCAAGGTTGTGTGGCCTTTTGTGTGGTGGCAGTCTCCTTTCGTTGAATAGAAGTTGTTCGACCTTGTTTTCGCAACTTGGTCATATTGGTAGGTGCGTTCCTCTAAATCTTCCTACCAATAGGACCAAGTTGCGAAAACAAAGTCAAACAACTTCTAGTGAATGAATCTTCAAAGTAGATGTGAAGAGAAACTGGGTTTCGATGAATCTCCCGAGATAACAATGTTGGGGGACCCAGCTATGATGAGGTTCATTATGTGATGGACAAAAGCTCAGCTCGTCTTCACATGACACGAGAAAGGAGATCTCGTGGACTGCGTCAACATGAACGTGGTATAAAAGCCAAACGGCTGCAGTACAATGGGAGTCATCCGTCCTCTTCTGGTGAGATCGACCTACGAATCTCTTCTTCATGCACTTTTATACGAAGTCAAAGCCCCCCAACAATCTTCAAAGTAGTTAGATGGCCAATTTAAAAAATAAAGCATAGCAACAAACTCATCCCTAACATAAGAAGTATAGTTAATTCAACGACAACTAGTCATGTTCGAGGTAAAACTCGATACATATTATTCAGCTAACTTCCATTTCGAAA